TCTTCCGGAACCTGGTGAGCCTGCAGGTGCCCGAGGAGCAGGTTCTGAACGCCGCGCTGCGGGAGAGGCTGCCGCCGCAGGCCCGAGCCCCGCCCCCGAAGGTGACGGGACCGCCGCCGGCTCCCTCCCGCGTCCCCTGCCCGCCCTCGCCGCGGACCCTGCGCTCTCCCCGAGTCTAACCTGGCTTTGGGCACCGATTCTAACAGGAGCCACCTGGACCAGGGCCGGACATGACCGTGTTGTGCGACCCAGACTCGTTGTGCTATGAATCGCCACATCTGACCGTGGATGGGCTGCCCCCTCTCCGCCTTCAAGCCCGGACCCGTCCCCCGGAGGACACCTTCCTCATGCACCGGACACTGAGGCGGTGGGAGGCTTAGATGCCAAAGCTCCCTCGATCGCTGGTTCTTATTTTTGTGCGTAAAAACTTTTTCGGAATAAAATGATTTTGCTAATAGAGGAGACTTTAGGCAGCCAAACATGAGGCTAAACCCTACCAGGGGTTTGTCCCCTTCACTGCAGGCTGGACAGAGTCTGCGGCCTTCTTTTTGGGAACTGGGTAAAGTGATGGCAAGTGGAAAACACTAAGTCAGGCCAGGCGTGGTGGCGCACGCCTGTAATCCCAGCACTGGGGAGGCTGAGGCAGGAGGATCCTTTCAAGTTCGAGACCAGCTTGGGCTAACAAAGGGAGCTCAAGGCCATCCTGAACTGCAATAGCGAGATCGTGTCTCAGAAAGACAAAAAAAAAAGAAAACGCTAATTCAGAAATTCGATAGCTTTCTGCCTGCCTCCCCCCTCCAGTAATTACAGCCACCACTTTGATGTCACTAGGCTCAAGCAATTAGCAGTTAAAATGTAGGTTCCCAACTAGGTAGGTAAAGTTCACTGGTAAGGTGTGAGCTTAGCATCCACAAGGCCCATGCCCAAACACAGGCCCACACAAAAGTTCTTCAGTTCCCACTGATAGGTAGAATTTTAGGTGTCCCTTAGAAAGAAAAAAAAAAAGTATCTTCCCATCCCCCCATGTGGGTCTCTGCCTATCACATTTATGGGTGACTCTCCTTAATTGTCTCCAGCCTGTAAGGCAACCCTTTGCACCGAGTTACTGCAATTACCTGCCTGCTTTACCTTTAAGGGCCATTTTGTTTACACCTGACCCAAGAGTGCTCAGGATCTGCTGAATGTTAAAGGCTCCAGTGAACCTTGCCAAACCACTTAAGATCTTCATGCTGCTAACAGCCTATAGATTCCACAAACACAAAAAGATGAGTGGTGGCTCCGACCCTGAGTATTATTCTAGCTCCATCACCAGTATTAAGTCCTGCAAAGTTAACGTTTTGCCCAAAGCTCCCACAAAATAGTTAAAAAGTTTTGAAGGACGTTGAACTCAACTTGCACATCATAAACTGTATTATACCTCCCTTTTCCTGATACAGATTTGACTAGCACTCAGCAGTCTCCCCAACCCTGGAAACCTGCCCTCTTGAGACCTGAGAATTGACTGGAAGCACAGCTTCTACTGAGAGGTGCCATCCCTTCCACAGCTAGAAAGCAGCAGACACAGGTGTGGGGGCCATTGCCCTAGACATCAAGTTTATTGTGCTCTCATATCCCAAACCCAGCCCTCTCCCCCACTGGGGGACAGCAGAAGGAAGGATTTTCACAGTACTGTGTGCCTCCCTGCCAAGCTTCCCCCTCTAACCCTCAGCCAGTTCTGTGGTCCACTGAAATGCAGCTAGAGAAAAGGGCTGAGGATAATAGAGAATCTCCCTGGGAGAGCAGAAGGAAAGGATTAGAGAATTTGATGCTTGCCACTTCCCACGCCCTAGAAGAACAGATCAGCAAACAGTCCATGCCATCTAGCCCAGCAGGCCAGGGGAGCGGAAGATGACAGTAACTCCAGCACAGCTGGACTTGCTTCTCAAATGCCAGAGGATGTGGGGAGGAGGCTGGAGCAGCAACTTAAAAGCTTTCTTTGCAGATCCAAGAAAGGAAACTTTATAGAGTCAGAAAGACCTTGGGATACTTTCCTCTTCCCCCAGGTCTTTATGAGCATCGAGGGCAGCCTCTTTCACAGGGTCTCTTCAGGGGCCACTTAGTGGCTGGGGGAATGGGCCTTGTGGAACAGGTACACAGGACGCTGGAAGCCTAAGTAAGGAGAAAACGTGCAATCAGGAAACAGGTTAGCAGGGCCTTGGGATTCCGCAGGGTCTGCACCCTCTCAGCCAACACTGGCCTTCCTCAACAAAACGAGCCAGACCTACCTTTGGAGGTGTTGTGGGGTGTGGCCACGAGCTCGTAGCTGGAGAAGCCCACTTCTGGGGATGTCAGGTAGGAACTGAACTGTTCTGGCTTCAGCTGGATTCGATAGTAGTTCTTGTAGATTGTTTCCTGGGGAGAAGAAAGGCAGGGGGTTCATGTTAAGTAACTGCCTCCCACCTTGGCCCTCAATGATACCCACCCAGAGCGCCCTTCCCCTTGCTCAGTCTCCCTGGAGGCCTTTCTTGCCCCAGCGAAAGGATAATTTCCATTTGCACAGAAATGCAACTCACTGTGAGAGTCTTTCTCTTGCCATAGGATGACCATGGTTGGGGCTCTAGGACCAGGATGCCCCCAGGGCGTAGGTGCCTGTAGATCCTTCGGAACATTCGCTTCAATCCCTCATCTCCCCAGTTCAGATGCACCCACTTGGTGAGGCTGAGGCAGAGCACCACATCATACTCGGCTGTCTGGGCCTCCACCAACTCATCTCGATCCAGCACGTAGTTGCCCTAAGGGCAAGAATGGGTTGAGGTTAGTAGGGGACCCAAAAAACCACTGGCCTTCACAACTGGTGTGCAACTGACAAATTCCTACAGCTGCACTTCAGCTGGTGGTCATATTTTTCTCTTTGTAATCCTTGCAGAACTTCCCAAAGGGACTCTGTTTTAGTCTCATCTTCTCTTTATACATTCCTGGCTCTGCTTCCAATGGGGGACAAACTAAACACATTTAAGAAGGAGCCTGGGTGATTTTAAATGGAACTGGGCTGGGCATGGTGGTGCAAGCCTGTAAGCCCAGCAAATCGGGAGGCTGAGGCAGGAGGATCACTGTGAGTTTCAGGCCAGCGGGGGTACAAAGTGAGTTCAAGGCCTGCCTGAATTGCATAGTGAAACCCTGTCTCAAAAAGAAAAATTGAGCAACTGATCGTTGAGATTTTCTCAGCTGTGGTGCTCCCACACACAATTATGAGGCAGTTACTTACTGTCATACAAGGGGATCTAGCTTAGGTTAAAAGGAGACCCATGGGTCCTTGGGCTGGGCAAAATTTCTGGCCTATTCTTTATCTGAAATGAAAAGCCACATCCCACAGGAAACCTTTTCTAGATGATAAGCTCACCATTACCCTCTGGAATGTCCTTTCTTCAGGCTTAACCGACACACTGGCAGACATTTCTGCAGAAAGCTTAGAAGGACAGTTTTGTGGAAAGCTATGTGCAATCAGGGGTCAAGCATGCTGCCAGGCGCTTCCTCCATACAGAACAGCCTCTGTCGTCCTCCTGTTATCCAGGGTCAACATGAAGAAAACCTAAAGCCTAGCTGCTGGGTTGTGTTCCTGAAAACTGACCCTTCAACAAACTGTATCTAGGGAAACGAAAGCAGGTGACAGAAATATAGTCCCTACCAAAGGACCAACACGACACATACTAAATCTGCCACTATCCTAGTCTGTACCCCCACCCTAAGATATCTCCTTCTGACACTCAAACCTTCAGGTCTCTGAGTAGGTTCTAGGAGCAGGTTTCATCTGGACTGAATTCTCAAGTGGCAGCAAGCACCTTCTAGAAATCAGAGCTATAGGAATCACCCCTATCTTGGGGCAGAGATCCTTGCAGTCCTGAGAACAACCCCAGGGGTAAAGCCCCAAGGTAAGAGACACCACATTCCCAGGTTACAGCAGCAAGAGAAACCCAGCAGAGGTCCTCCCTGACCAATCCAGACCTTTCTCTTGAAGAGCTGGTTTTCCTAGTGAGGAGTGGATACAGGGAAACACCTCGGGGTAATAACCATTCCACCACTTTCCCAATCTCATCTTCATACCTGGCCCCTATTCCAAGGGCCTTCAGACTCTTACCGTGACGAAGACAACATTGTTGGGGAAGACAGATGTGTCTGCTCCATCCAAGGGGACTTGGGGTGCAGCAATGGGACCTCGGCTGGCTGTCAGCGAGGCTGGGAAGCAGCTCCTTTTTCTGATGGTGGCAGTGCCTTCCTCACCTTCTCCTGCTGGGTTCTCCTCGGAAGTCTGGGGTGGGAGACGCAGCTCCTCAGACAGATAGTGTCTGATATTTTGGCGGGCTGAGTGGATGAGCCGGGCATCGATATCCAGCCCCACCATTCGGGATGGGCCCCACTTGCAGGCAATGCTCAGGGTGAGATGGCCCACATTGCAGCCGAGATCCAGGACGTCCCGACCCCGAAACCACTCTGGCTTCAACACCCGAAGGCGCCCATCCTCACAGGAAGGATTGCGATACCCATAGTACTTGCAATAATTCCCGTACTGGAACTTGCGCTGTTGCTTTTTGAAGCCTGCTGCAGGTAGCGGGTGGTGACGGCCTCCCCCACTCCCGCGGCCCTTTTCCTTGGGACCCTGGCCTCCACCCCTAGCCCCAGCCTCCGACTTGCTGGAAGTCCTGCGACGTTTGCGATGTCGGGAGGAGGAAGACGAGGGTGCAGAGGTAACTGAGGCAGCTGGAGGGGCTGAAAGGGAGCCTGAGGGACCCTGCAGGGCTGATGGAAGGGGAGACACGACCTCATCCCTGCAGTTGATGGCTGTGTTGAGTTCATAGGGTTGGGGGGCATCCCGGTTCTGGCCCCGGTGCCGATGCTGCTGCGTGGCACCCTCCCCTTGGAGTGAGGGGGTCAGGGGGGCCGTGGGCAGCACAGCGTGGCTATCGCTCCCTCCAGATGCCTGCTGCTGTTGGTGGTGCTGTCCCCGGTGTCTATGCCGCTTGCGACCAGTCTTGAGTGGCGAAGCAAGAACTACGTGGGCCTCATCAGTGCAAGTATTGAGACTGAGCGGGTCTGTGATATCTTTGGGGATGAGGATCTCCACTGGATCGCGCCCCTTGGCCGGAAGTGGGGATGATTTAGGGGTCTCCGCATTGAGTGCACGACTCACTTCCTCATCCAGGAGGCTATTCAGGTTCAGGGGATCAAAGATATTGCCCCCCAGGAGGAAGTTGGAGGGCAACACTGGGTCACAGTCCGAATTCACCCGCCGGCGTCTCTTAAATGCCGGATGTTTGAAGCCTCCTCCACCTCCTCCCACATTACAGCTATTTCTCCTCTTGCCCCCACCTCCCCCGGGAGGCCGGTGGGGCTGGTAGCCATTTCGGGGCCGAGGAGGGGCAGGGGGCCCCAGGTCTGTCCCAGCTCCTCCCCGGCGCTCCTCCCCCACGTCCGGGGGAGCGGCTCGCCCGTGGGGCTCGGCCAGGCGGGCCTCTCCGTGCGGCTGCGCCTG